GAAAGAAAGAAAGAAAGAAAGAAAGAAAGAAAGAAAGAAAGAAAGAAGAAAAGAAAAGAAAACCCCTTCATTCTTTCACAATGTTTATATGTGTTTATTAGAAGGAAGCTGATCGGTCTTACCATTACCCACTATGCTTCATGGGATTAGTCAGCTGTTAAACCTAAAGCACTAAGCACAGTGAAACTAATAGTGTGTGCATGAAGTTTAGTTCAGTGGGAAAATATCTAATCCCTACCCCCACTTGATTTTCATATTTTGATATGTCATTTTCAGGTATAGGTTTTGTCTGGAAAATAGTGGTGGGATGAACTGTCCAATTTTGAAGTTGTGTTGGTCTGTCCCATTTCCCCATTTTTGAATATTTGTCAGATTACATATGTATTCTTGAAATTTCCCCAACAAAGCTAATCTGAATACGTTGTGTTGCAACATAAAGAAAGAAAAGCAAGCCCATTAGGAAGGCCAAAAATTCCTATATTGATCACATGAAAAATACTGGACATTAGTGAAACATTCTAATGATCCTTTGGTTCATAGATCTTTTGCTAAGTATGAGAAAAGGGGACTCATTGGTGATGCATATAACATTTTCCCAGTTTTGCTTAACTCTTATTCCAAAAGTACTCACAGCTTATTTTTGCAGTATTTCTGCACATCCGTTTGCAGGGTACTACTACTACAATACGTTTCCCAAATATTATCGAACATCTGTATGCAGTTGATTTTTGATGAGATTCTTATTTCCGGCTTTACACTCCTTATTTTTTCTTCAGCAATATTTTTTTTTCTGAATGAGATATATTACAGTTGATTGTCTGATACCATACTGGCATATTTTGGATGCAGTTTCTTTATATCACTGAGAGTGACTGAACAATGGGCACAAATAACCCTCCCTTCCTTTTCCTTGTCTACTACCAGTAGTTAGCAAAGTAAGAGTCCCTTGGGTTCTGTTCATTCTCCATGCATTCAAGGTTCAAAGACAGCATTTCTGACGAATATCAGCAGCACCTTTTCTCTTGGAAATCATCTTAAATTTTCCAGGCTTTTGGCTTGATGTGATTTACTGGAAAGAACTTGAAATGAGACGGAGTTCTTCTCCTAGCTTTCCTAAAAAGAGAATGTTTGTAGAGTAGGGCTGTGGTCATAGTTGCCAGTGGGGATAGCCAACAAATTCCTGAATACCTCCACTATGTACAAGTCAGAATGGTAGCAGAAATTCTTTTTGACTATACCTTTCTATAGAATGGGCAGAGTCTGAAGCAGCCAGGCCCTTCTAGACATCAATGCTCAATGACTCTGAATTCTGGTTATTCAGCCATGCTGAAATGTGGGTGGAAGGTTCAGTGTGCCTATTTTTGCATTTTTCCTCTGTAAATCTTTTAAATGTTTCCTCCCTGGCCATCTGTAAATTAGTACTCATATGCTAGGCTAAGTTGCTTAAACTTTTAAGGCAGAAGCCATCACTGACTACAGAACTATTTATAGCTGGAAGCGAAAGAGTGTCATGCAGGATGTTTTTTAAAGGTTGCCAGGGTAGTACAGTACACAGATAGATATACAGGTAGTCATTGAATTACAACTGTTCATTTGATGACCGTTCAAAGATTACAACTGAAAAAAGTTGACCTACGACCATTTTTTACACTTACGATCATTGCAGCATGCCCCTGGTGACGTAATCAAAATTCGGACACTTGGAAACTGGTTCATATTTATGACAGCTGCAGTGTTTTGGGGTCATGTAATCAGCTTTTGCAACTTATGACATCAAAGTCAGTGGGAAAGCCAGATTCAATTAATAACCAAATTACTAACTTAACGGCTGCAACGATTCACTTAGCAACTGTGGCAAGAAAGGTTGTAAAATGGGGCAGAAATCCACTTATTAAATGTCTTACTTAACAACATAAATTTTGGGCTCAGTTGTGATAATAAATCGAGGACCACCTGTATACATTTAATGTATATGTATACTCTAGCAATCATCTCCAGTTTGCAAATCATATTTAGAAATAGAATGTACATGCCTATCAAGTCAATTCATGGAAACATGTAGCCAAATGACACGTCTAATTACATTGCTGATTAAACCCAGGCAAAACCTGCCTTAGCTCACGGTAAGCCTCATAAGACAGCCTACCTATTTGAAAGGGTCAACCACCAATATGGTGTGAGATGCAGGTGATACATCTGTATCCTTCTGGCTCCCCCCTTTCTTTTTTCATTTACTTATTGGAAATCTAGGAAGTTAGGGTGTTACATTGTTCCAGATCCTGGGCATTAATTAGGCCTGCAAGAAAAGAAGAGGGATTGTGTGTTTTTAACAGGGAGGTTAATGGGATGCTCACAGAGTAGACAGTTTTAATGAGCTTCAACTTGCTGTGCAGTGAGTTTACTCTTGGTGTTAAAAGGGTCATCCTGCAGTAGCTTGATGTGGATTGTCTCCTGGCCTCCAGTGTCAGAGTGGAGCATTTGTCAGAGTCCAGGCAGGGTGCATTTACTTAGTGACAAGATTCTAATTAACTCCTACCAAGCTGTCCACTCACCAAACCCCATAGGGAACTGCCAAGGTGCAGCCTCTTATCCTTACAAACGCTTCATTCTGTATGGAGCATTTGTTTTGGAGGAGCATTGCTTGACTGATATTGGTGTATATGTAATTGATGTTTTAACATATTATCAATTTAAAACAAAAATAAGATTAAATGGTCCATTTAATGTTATGAGGTGTATAAATAAACAGTAATTTTTAAAGAGCCCAAAATACTGTATTTGAACTCAGTTTTTTGATTCAGGGAATAAAGTTTTGAAAAGT